GGATGAGCAGCGTCTTAAGGTTTTTGAAAATAAAGTATTGCGTAGAATATTCGGACCGAAGAAGGATGAGTTAACCGGAGAGTTCAGACGGTTACACAACGCTGAATTGCGTGAGCTGTATTCGGGTAATATAATTGAGGTAATTCCATCGCGGCGAATCAAATGGGCTTGTAAAGTTGTTGGGCTTAGTAACGAGAGAATTCCTAAAAGGTTAATATTTGCTGTGCCGAATGGTAAGCGTCCGAGGGGTAGACCGAAGCGAAGGTGGGAAGATTGCATTAAAGCCGATCTGAAGGGACTGGGTTTGGACGGCGAACGGTGGAGGGAGGTGTGTAACAAGCGATTGGTGGTATCGGCATCGAACCTTCGGGTTCGCTAAGCCTTATTATTATTATTATTATTATTATATAGTTTTTATTTAGTTATTATTTTACTTTTGTTTCTTTTTTGTATATACGGTGTGAATGTGTTCATTTATCAATATAATTATTGTCCCTGTGACAGAATATTATATGTCTAAATAAAAAAAATATAAAAAATAATAAAAAATAAATAAATAAAAAAAAAATGCTGTATTGGTAGAGATACTTCAGAACTACCTTCCAGACAGATATTTTTGATTAATTGCCCCATCTACACAAATAAAATTGTCATCAATGTTTCATAATTGTCTAACTTCTGATTACAGACCTATATCAATCACATAAACTGTTTTATTCATTTTATTTGCTTCGATTTTAAAATAAATTAAAAAGACCATGATAAAAATATAAAAAATTAAGAGTTCAATTTTAGTAACTTATCTAAATCTTTTTAAAGGAAGTTAGTCGACTGTTCTACATATCATGGGTGATAAATATTCAAGACGCAGTCTTTTTTAAAATTTTTATTTTTGCCAACGTTTCAACCCAAACATGTGGGTCATCCTTAGGGCTGAAAATGTTTTTTTTATTACAATCAAAGATATAATAGTATACGACCGCTAATTTTTTTATTTTTTTATTATTTATTCATGATATTTACAACTGTATTAAAAAATTAAATACATTAAGTAAATTTGATAACAGAAAATAATAACATGAAATGACTTGAACTACCCACTGGTAGCACTCTAAAAACAAAATGTATTTACAATAAGAGATCTCGAGGCCATCTTCTTTTCAGACGCCTCGGAGGGCTATCAGGAATAGAAGAGGAAGCAAGGTTAGAGACGAGAGGATTCGGATGGTTCTGAAGTTTATTATGGAAGGATTGGTATCTGGATTGGGCTAAATCGGAAACATAAGGAACATTAAGGTCATTATGGATTATTTTATTGGTGACAAAGTAAGGAGCATTGAGGATTTTCCGAAGGATTTTGGATTGTAAGGATTGGATACGAGAGGAATTCGATGGCTTAGTGGAGCCCCAAAGCTCAACTCCGTAAGTCCAAATAGGTCTTATTGTAGTCATGTATATAAGTAATTGTTTGGAATTAACTGGAAGCTTAGAGCGTTTGTCTAGTAAGTGTTGGAGTAGTCGGAAACGTCGAGCGGTTTCTTGTCGTTTCAGTCTGGTATGAGGATTCCAAGTTAGACGTTTGTCCAAGTGAAGTCCAAGGTATCGGATTTGTTCAACAGGGATAAGTGGGGTATTATTAAAGGATACTATGGGACATGAGGTCATAGGTTTACGTCGAAGGGTAAAGGTGATTTGATGGGATTTATTATAATTTATTTTAATCCTCCAGTTTTGACACCATTCTTCAAGGCTTGTGATGTGCGATTGAAGAGTTTGGGATACAATGGTTGGGTCATTATTAACGGATAGGACACATGTATCATCGGTATACGTGGTAATAACAGTGTTAGGATGGATTGGGATGTCAGCTGTATAAAGGATAGGACCAAGGATACTACCTTGAGGAACACCAGCGGACTGTGAAAAGAGGGATGAATAAGCATTATTGTGATTGACTTTTGAGTATCTATCAGTTAGATAGGAACGGATAATGAGGAAGTATGTAGGATGTAGGAATTTACGGAGTTTGTAAAGTAGTCCAGACTCGATCAAAATCCTGTTCTACATCGAGAAAGACTCCCGTGCAGTACATTCCGCGCTCTAATGCAGAGGAGACAACATCCACCACACGATGACATTGCTGGATAGTGGAATGGGATCTGCGGAATCCAAACTGGTGATCTGGGATTATGTGATTAGAATCTAGGATTGGGTACAGGCGTTTTAGGATGAGTTTTTCCAGGACTTTGCCCATGATGGGTAAAAGAGAGATAGGACGGTAAGAGGATGGGTATTCTGGTGGTTTTTTGGGTTTATGTATCATTTTGATAATGGATAGTTTCCAAGGGTCGGGAAAATATGTGGATCGGAGTACAGCATTATATATATAAGTAAGGAATAGAATGGCTTTCCGAGGAAGTAGTTTTAGGATCTGAGATGTAATTAGGTCGTGTCCAGGAGCTTTGCGGGAAGGTAACCTGTGAATGATGTTGGATATTTCTGAAGGATGAAAGGCTTTAGGTGGAAGAGACATTTGGAGTGGTATATCCAGTTCTGCTTCAATACATTCAAGGTGATTTGGATTAAGAATATCGGGATGTGGATTAAAGGTTTTAAAGAGGTGGTGAGCAAATATTTGGGATTTTTCTTCGTCGGATTTGGACCAGGTTTGGGCTTCAGTGAGTAGTGGATGGTTGCAGTCTTTAAATTTCAGGAGCCTTTTAGTGGTCGTCCATAGTGATTTATCGGTAGGTGTAAGTTTTTCAGTAAAATTTAGTAAATTTTGAATTTTGTATTTTCTAATTTCTGATTTCAGTTTGTTAGTCAGTTGGGTGTAATGCGCTTTATCTGTCGGGTATCTAGTTCGATGCCACTTCGATCTTGCTCTGCGTTTTTCCTTTAATAAGATACGAATATGCTGTGGCAAGTTAGTATTTTGTGGGTTGTTAATCTTATTGATAAAGGTGTTATTATTTATACTGTCTGTTATTGATGATGTCAGTTTTTCTATGGCACCATTAATGTCTTCTTTTGTCTTTAGCGGAATTTTGAGGTCTAGTTTGTTTTCCAAATCATCACGAAATTTGTCCCAGTTTACTCGTCCAGTGATCAGTTTGGGAGGTGATGGTTTAGGAGCAAAGTCAGAATGTAGTGAAAGCAGAACTGGACTATGGTCTGAAGAAAGGTCATCCAGGGATTTGATTATAGTTTGGGAGGAGGAAATCTGGGAGGTGATAAATATATCCAGGATATCGGGACGTTTTTTGAGGGATGTTGGCCAATAAGTAGAACTCATGAGCGAGTCGCTAATTATAAATAATAAACTATAGTGATTGATGGCACATGTTCCGCTCCTACAACAATCAAATATTGTATACCATATCACATGCTCTAGCCCAAACTGTAATTCTTCTTATATATGAGAAACCAAAAACTATTTTAAAAAACGAATCTATCAACACAAATATAGCATCTCCACGCGAAACCCGTTTGTCTCAAAACTAGCGGAACACGCCATAACCCTAAACCACACATTTGATTTTGAAAACCCAACCATTCTCGCCACAGTTCCCAATCACCAAAAACGACTACTATCGGAATCTATATTCATTAATATGGATAAAAAATAATCCGGTAAACCATAAAGTTGACAAAGAAAAGATCTGCAATACATATTCAAATATTTTCTGTCTCCTGAAACAATAGCCTATGTAATCCTTAATATAACACAAACTTATATTATGATAAATATTGTATATGTTGTCCTAAGTATCATTTGCATACATTGAAAATTGTCTTTATTATAAAAATTATTCATCTAACCCTTGTATACTTGCTATCAAACTAAGCTATATTTATATTAATTGGCACCTTTTGCTTATGTTCATTTCAATACTAGTCAATAGTCACATTTCTGTAACCATATGAAATAACTCAAATATTGTACACCTCTGAAATATTTGTCAGCAAATTATATATATTCTACAAACATAAATGTTACCCCCCTTCCCCTCTAACCTTGTTTACCTACCTTTTGCTATCTGAAAAAGGACAACTGGGAAATCCTCCACCAATGACCTTTTTACTTACCTACCAAACATTTGTCAGTACTTGAACAACCTCAGTGCTCAAACCACGGTTAGTAAGAGAAAATATTACAAATTTATATAAATGGATTATGTACATTATTTTTTATTTTTAGTTTGTATAACTATTTTAATATTTAATTCTAATATGTGTGTTACAATATTAGTTAAGATTCATGTTCCATCAATCACTATAGTTTATTGTTTATAATTAGCGGTCATATACTATTATATCTCTGATTGTAATTTTAAAAAAACATTTTCAGCCCTGAAGAGGACCCACATGTTTGGATTGAAACGTTGGCAAAAATAAAAATTTTAAAAAAGACTGCGTCCTGAATATTCATCACCCATTAAATATTATTAATTAAAAAAATATATATTTATTGAATATTAACACAATCTGTCACACTCAAGGTCAACAAGCATTAGAACTGAAAGTATCCACTCATTCAATATATACAAACAAGATAAATAAATGAATGTAAATAAAGAAAAAAACAAAAGATTAAATAAATAAAATTCTTCTAAAGCTCATTCACACCTATATACAATATTTACATTTGCCCAAAAGACTCTGAGCCAGGCTTTGTATTCCACATATGGAAGCTCCAGGTCTCAGCACTTCTCTTCCAGTCACGTCACTGGATGGGAGACTGAAAGAGGGCACTTGAGCTACAAACATCCAGGCATTTAGTGGAGAAGCTGGCGATTGCCAGGACTCCATTGACATATTTACAAAAGGTCTCGAGGCCATTGCCGTTTCAACCTCTGGGGAGGATTATAGGGATGGTTCAACCTAGAGGATTGGAATGGTGAATAAGGTTCTGGTAAAATTTTGTAAATTGGGATGAGATGATGCCAAGGACATATGGGGTGTTTCTAGCATACATATTTATTAGCTCTTTAAAATGCCTAACTCCAATGCCTTGCCACCTGCAACAGGCCCATTCTTAAAAATAATTTTCTCTCGGCGACTATCGTAGAGTTCTAACACTTCAGTATGCCTGATCAACACCCAGTCTCTCCACCATGCCATATCAGTCTCTCCACACATTCGGCAATTTCAGCGTTATAATCAAATGTAGACTGGAATAGGGCATCCGGTACATTAGACAGTTGCTGGGCAATCGACCAATGTTGCAAAGGAGCCTCCCATTGACAGCGGATCAGTCCCAATCCTCGATACATCCTTGGTGTGTATAACGTCGCCGATGATGTTTTAGCATGGAGCCCAATGATGACCTTGATACCTAATGATAAAAAAGGTTATATAAAATAAAAAGGTGAGTACAAATATATTTATTTTGAACCTGGTTTGTCGGTTGCTATAACTGATCAAAGAAAAATCTTCCCTAATTAGTCTTAACTGTGCAATTTAAATAAACATAATTGTTTTATCAAATGCTGATTAGTTACATGATGATATAACCATCATGCCAACTGAGATATAGGGCATATATAATAGTAAATTTTACTTTTTAGTCTTCTGGTAAAATAAATAAGAACCCTAGTGATGAATGCTAAAAATATTTATAGGTAAACTTAAAGAAATTATATTACTCTTCTCTTCAACACTTTTAACAAAATAACAATGTTATAACAATAACATTGACATAATATTTTTTTATGATAACACAAAATATTTTTGAGTCTAAAGTAACTTAAAATATTTATGTACATACCGAGAAACAGCTATGTAGGCAATGAAAAAAAGAAGTAATTCATTATAATTCTTTAGTCATAAAATTGAGTGTGAATGGTGAAATACAACAATTCTGTTTTAAGGTTTTATTCATAAACACATTAATTTAAAATAATAACAAAATATTCAATTCTAGAAAAATATTTTCTTCTATGTACATGTCATGTAGAACACCACCATATCATGTTGACCTGAAAACAGAAAATAATCAATCACTAATGCCAACATCAAAGAAGTAAAGATAAATAAAGCTTATTAATAATTATGGCCAAACTGCAAATCAAATCTAGAATATTTAATAGTTGACCGTTGCATTATTAAGGAAGGAGATGGTCTGGTGTGGAGGTCGAAACGTTGGCTTTTAATAAAATAGTTTTGCCACTATTTAGTCTATTTATGACCGCCACCCCAGACCATCTCCTTCCTTAGAATATTTCTAAAGACAAATAAGATAGATACTAATTAAAGCAAAATATGATTTATTATGAGATTCTTTTTAATAATTTATACATAAATAGTTCGATATAATTAATAATAATCTAATAGTGAGCTTTTAATTGATAATCAGTATCATTAAAGATTAGATAATTTTTTGATGAAGAAATAAAGTGCATCAGTGTTTTAAGATGAGATGTTGAGGAGATAAACTTGTTATATTGCCTTCTGAGGTGTGTTGGAAGAGTTATAACAGACTATAGTTAAACAGGGGACATTTCATTAGCAAATTCACAAGCACATAAGGTTTAGGAATGTCACTATTTTGGAATTTTATTTCTTAGTCATCACAGATGTGTGACTTGATTTTAATTAAAACCTAGTACTAGCAGTCGTGATATACAGAGTTGATCAATTTGAATTAAAAAATTAAGTTAAGAAAGAAAATTTAACCAGAAAGAGCTGAATTTTTAAATTTTCTCTCTGATAAAAGTTTTTATTTTGTAGTATTAATTAGTATCACAAAACAGCCATTTGCTGAAGAACTGTCTTGAAGAATATGGAACTAGAAAGAACCTAAACAAGATTTCAAGATATGATGTGAAAATTGTCATGGGGATCTTAAATAAAGAATCCTGTGAATTTTATGATAAAATGGAGTGGGTTTATTGTTAAATACTGCAAAAGCTGCTTGAAAATAATTCTAGAAGACGCAAACATGAAGGTGGGAAGGAAAAAAGTTTAATTTCCGACGATCGGTAACAAAAGTTTACACGAATATAGTAATCATAGGTGCCGACTTCAGGGGCAGGGGGAAGCATTGCCCACCTTCACCAATAAAAATTGTGAGAGGCGAGAACATCATATCACTTAAACATATCATTGGCCGGAAGTCTTCAGAATGCAAGTTTAATTTGTCATATTTTGGAAGCATATACGTGATTCCATCAGAGAAACCAGTATGAGGAGTTTCCTTGCCATCAAGTTCATTCCGATAATTATTGGCCAGTGATTCTTACAAGTAACTAAATCAATTAATCCATTAATTTTGGATTCCATCTGGACCAGGTGCTCAATGTTCCTGACTGCTTCCATAACACCGTTTGTAATTATTTCACAATGCATCTTAGTCATTTTTACCTATTATATTATGGAAACTTGGCATTTTTTCCACTATCCCACGGATGTTCTCTTGGTGATTCGTTGATTTTCCTAAATATTTTTCAACTTGCCTTCAATGTCTTCCGGGTAATAATTCAGTGTTTTCACTTTTTGACCAAGGTTCATATAAAAATGATGTTCATTTTGCTTGAACAGGTGATTTTGTTGCCTTCACAGAACTACTTCACTGTATCTATGCAATCTGCTATCAAAAGCTGCTAGTTCTTTTTTTTTTTTAATTATCCTGATAAAGCATCAGTCAATTAATTTTCCATCACTAACTCCACGTTTTGCTGCACTATGATTTCATCTATCTTTTTCTGTGTCTTGGTAGTTTGCGGATTACGAATATAATTTTAAATGGCACCAATTTTCTCACACAAGGTGTTATGTCATTTTTCATTGAAGTCTTTTTTTTCTACTATGGAATTCACTTCGAATCCACTGAAGTTAATATTTATTTCCTCTTCTGTTTCTATTTGAGAACATTGTTCATCGCTTTGATTATGTACAGTGTGAACTTATTATATGGCACTCGTAATGAAGGTGGCTCCCCAAGAGGTATTCTCTCAAGCAGAATATGCTCCATCAAGACTCCTTCACTCCATCTGTTTTTAAGTTCCATATCATTCTCCTTTAGTTTCTCTGTAGCGGTGTTGGGTATACTGATGCTTCTAGCCATGGTTTCCATATTATTACCATTGCATTAAACATACTATTGGATACTTAGACATTATTTTCAGTAGTTATAATATTGTGAACATCTTGACACGATTCTCAACAGAACCATCCAAATTCTTAGATATGCTGATGACCTCAATATAATTGGCAGGTTCTAAACAACAATAGAGTAGGCATTCCTTGCATTAGAATGTGCTGCAAAGAAAATGGGACTCATCATAAATGCATTCAAAACAAAGTATATGGTCACAGAACAGCCCATACGACTGGGAGACGTGGTTAAATTTGGATAATATATGTTTGAAAAAGTGATTGTTTAAAATACCTTGGATGCATTGTGAACTCAAATAATGATATTTAGCCAAAATCAAGAATAGAATAATGTTGGCGAATTACTTCTTCCGTGGGTTGTGGCAACAACTTAGAGGCAACATCTTGTCCAGGATAACTACAAAGCACTACTTTTGCTCTACAAAGCACCCAGAAACATGAACATTGAGCAAGATGAAGAAGGATGAAATAAGTTTGATATTTGAAAGAAAATTTTTGTTGGAGGAATTTGTACCATGAGGGTACCAGGAGGAGAAGAACAAACCAGCAAATCTATAGTTTATATGAGGACCCTGATACTGCAAAGTATATACATGGCTCTGATGGGCGGACGATGTGTCTAGAGTGTCAGACCTATAGATCCCAATAAAAGATCCTATCAGGAAAGATACATGAGATAAGTAGGCCTTTAAGACCGCAGCTACAATGGAAAGATGGTAACACACAAACGAGACCACTGGCAGAGTCAACCTTTCAGAGGCCATGTCTCACTAGTGGGTTGTAGTGTTTAAGATGTAAGTTGAGAAATAGTGAGGTGTAAATGAAGCATTCATAGAAATTATATTGAGGAAACATAAAGAATAATGAGGAAAGGACTAGTAGTAGATACATCACTAACTGCTCACTAGAGTGACCCAAAAAATATCCCTATTGAAAATAAGTAAGAAGATAAGAAAGATAATTATTATTTATCTTTATCTTATATTTATGGACATATGTAAACTATACCCCTCAATATCCATACATAATAAAATAACCATCATCAATGTTGATTGCATTCTAAATACATGAATATAAAAATAAAAATAATAGTGAAAAATTTGTATGAATAAATGGAACAGTTTATATACTTACCTAAATAACAGAAGTCATATCAAATATGACCACCTTCTTTAAGCTTAGCAACTAATGCATCCACATCTGGCAATATTGCTCCAGCTTGTCTAGTAGGTGGATCGGCAACACTGAGAATTTCAATTCTTGGAGAAATGTCAATCCCTAAATCTTTTGGAGTTACTTTCTTAATTGGTTTCTTTTTAGCTTTCTAAAATAAAAGTAAAAAACAAATCAATGAACTAATTTAACAACAGTATAATATAAGGTCAATACAAATGAATAGTAAAAGAAAATAGTTTTTACACTGTTAAAGAATTATGTAAATAAACAATTACAAAAAAAAATAAAAGTTATGAAGACTAGTTAAACGCCCGAGGAAATACTTTTGTACGTCGGGGTGGTCCTGGATTTTGTGGAGAGAAAGCGTCCTAGAAGAGAGGACACCAGGCCAGCGTTGATTGTCATGCGTTTTGTCTGGCTGGCAATCCGGGATGAGGTGTTATGATTTCGAAGGATAAAAAGGGACTTCACCACCAGGCACCTCGGTTGGGAAAGCGACTAGAGAATTTACATTGGGGAAGAGATGAACTCAAGCAACCGCTATCTTTACTGGCTGGCAAGACAGAAAAAGGACGAAGGGAAAAATCAAATATGTTTGGTTTTCCAGAGGGCGTGTTACCTAATCTTCCTTGCGACCTGCTAAGGCACAATTCTTTTATCCTTCCTTATCACAAGCCACAAATCCTAAGTCCAGATGAAAAATCCTGAAAAACCTCTGTCGTAGAATCAAAAACCTGCACTTCCTATCCTGTTTCTTCAGATCAACTGAATTCCCACTTCGCTAGTTTTCCTTTCAGATTCCTAAAAAAATCGTTTGCGAATACACTAAACAGAAGGAGAGCTATTTTCCTTTCTCGATAGACCTCTCTAAAACCTGCTTCAAAGAGAAGATAGTCCCAATTTTCAACTCCAGTAGCAATTGAAAATAAAGTTGTTTTCACCATAAGAAACCTCGTTTACTTAGTCCAGACCTGTTGACTTCCCAATTGCTTTGAAGAAATCTTTCTTACTGATAAAATGGTTTTCACCATAATAAATCTGCATCATCCCCTTCTATCATCAAAGCTGCTTTGGCATTTGAACCCCTTTTAGGAGTATCTTGAAATATTCTGTTCATCTGTCTACTATATATTCGTTTAGCCATATAATGGATACTGATCCTTGCTTTCTTTTCCGAAATTTTGGCACTTACTTTTTCGTTCGCTCAATATATTTTTCCAATTTTTGTATTCCATTTCACGTTTCCCCTCATTTTGAGACCAAATACTAACTATCAGTTCCGGTTACCTAGAAGACCTTATAGCTTCACCCTTACCATCTTTCTTTGTGCAGAGAGAATAATGAATTCAATATTACAATATCCAATTTTTTTATGATATGGTGCAACTTCCGAACAAAATAAAGGAAATAAAATTAATTTTTTTACTAGTGATATATAAGTTTTATTAAACAACCCATCAACTATTCATTATATGTCGTTCAGATTAGGTATATATTATTTTAGTTTATAAAACAGGTATTAATATGACTCATTTCCGGGGAAGTATATATAATTTAAATTACCTCTAAGAATCATTAAATATATAAAACAAAGTGTTAAATTGCAAATGTTAAATAAAAAATTCAAAATATTTAGCAAAGTATTTTTGAATTAACTTTTATTATTATAATTATATCATTATTACAATAGAGGCCTTTTTTAACTACCTCCATATAGAATAAAGGAAATTAAATTTTTAAAAAAATTGTTTAATTTTTTTGGACAATTAAATTATTGCATTAATATTTGTCCGTTAATATAATCAATATAATGTACAAAAAACGTTATTATAGCACTATAATTAGGCAATTTATGAGCACTAAATGGTGTGGTGAAGGTCTGTAGGCACCCACGCCAATACCGCTTTTCTGCCGCTTAAGTGCATTTTCTACGGAACTGCTTCAAAAAATTTATAAACTAAACAGTGTTTTAGAAAAGAAAATATATTCTCCAGATGTTTTATTTGAGCACGTTTTGCGTTATTGTTGGCTGTTTAATTACAATCAACGCTTGATTTTCAACTTGAAAATTTTTTTGTTAAAAAAATCGACTTTACTAATGGTTTTTATTGCCTAAGCCAATTATTTGTTAATATTTTTTCATGTTTTATTATTCTCTGACCATCCAAGCTGTAATAAAAGACCAACTATGACAAAATTAAGCCAAATGCAGAGTTAAAAAATGTGTTTATTAATTCTCAAGAAGGGAAATTCTATTCTGAGGGAATGGAAAAGTTGCCAACACGTTCGGAGAAATGTATTGATAGTAGTGGAGAATATTTTGATTAAATAAAACATTTATAAATCTTTCTTTTTTTCTTTTTAAATCAAAATCCTGCATTATTTTCTGAACAAACCATTATAAGGTTTGCTAATTTCTGTTGTGACATTTCCTTTATTTATAAGATGCCAACATTTTAAATAATTTTGACTATCTGACTTGCAATGGATGGATTAAATTTTTTTATCTTAAAGATATAATGGTGTACTCTGTTTTGTTTCTGATTCAACTAAACTTTTTTTTATTTTATTAATTCATGATATTCAAAACTGTATTAAAGAAACAAATATAGTAAATTTGTACAAATGGATATAATGATGTAAAAATATTTTTTGAGTTACTACCCACTGGTAGCACTCTAATAATATATCTACATTATGAGATTAAGGGGCCATCTTCTTTTCAGAGTCCTCGGAGGGTTATCAGGTATTGAAGAGGAAGCAAGGTTGGAAACAAGAGGATTGGGATGGTTCTGAAGTTTATTATGGAAGGATATGTATCTGGATTGGGCCAAATCTGAAACATAAGAGACATTAAGGTAATTATGGATGATTTTATTTGTAAGAAAGTAAGGAGCATTGAGGATTTTACAAAGGGATTTGGACTGTAAGGATTAGATACAAGAGGAATTTGATGGTTTAGTGGAGTCCCATAACTCAACTCCATAAGTCCAAATAGGCCTTATTATAGTCATGTACATGAGTCATTTCTTTTGTAATTAATTGGAAGTTTAGAGCATTTGTCTAGTAAACTAAACTTAAATAATAGATATTTCTTACCATTATGTTTGGTAAAGTAGCATAGCGTGGTTCATTAAGCCTTAAATCTGCACTAATAACTGCAGGAGATTTAACTTTGATAACTTCAAGACCACCATCAATTTCACGAGTTACTGTTAGTTCATCACCAGCTTTTTCTATCTATAAATAATGTGAGATTAATGATAAAATGAAGTAAAATATGCGATTTAAGAAAATAAGTAGTTAGTAAAAATATTAGTTCCGTATATAAACATAATAGCTAAATCGATATTTAAAGTATTTTTTATGTTTCTGCTAGGGTTCATTAAAAACAAAGATATTGATCAGGGTTGGAGCATTTTATTACACTTTAACATAACAATATTAAACACAATATGTTACCCAAACTACGCATGTAATAAATAATTAATAATAATAGCAGATAGTCCACAACAATAATGATTTGTATTTAATTATAATAATTATCCTACAAAATTAATAACTAGTTTTTAATAAATAGGTCATAAAACTAAATGAAATGTTAGCTAATCACATTTAGTTCATTAATAGAGATGCCAGCAAAACAAATTGTAACATTAATGATATATCAGTTAAGAAAAACTATTCATAATCACAATTAGATATGATACATTTAAACCAATTAATTCAAGCTATTTCATTTTAAAATAGACATTTAGAAATAATAAAAAACAAAATATATGTGAAATGTTACAAGACATGCAGCACAAGATTTGGAATAAGAAGGGAATACCCAAATGGACTTTTTCAAAATAACAAAATTTAAAACAGATTTTAAGAACTCATTAACTATCAATGAGGGTCTATAGGGTAGAGGCTGGAGATGGGCAAAACCAACTCTGAAGGCTGAGTACCAAGAAATTTACTCAAATTTAAAAACTATTAGGAATTATGAAGAGAAGAATAGTTGGGGTGGTCAGTCAAAAAAGAAGGCAAAAAATAAATGATAATATTTATTTTTACATATGCCGACGTTTCGACCTGAAGTTCAGGCCTTCATCAGGGCTAAGAAAATAACCAGATAACAAGGTATGAGAAACATAAGTAGTGATGGTAAAAATAAAAAAAATAAAAAATTATAAAAAAATAAAGTAAAATGAAATTGTTAGAATAATGACAATAATAAGAACTAAGAGAAATAATAATAACCGTTACAAAGTGTGGAATGATGAAGTAGGCATAATCAAAAAGGCTGACATAAGTGTTAAAATGGGAATCTTAGAATAAAATGTAAAACATAAAAAAGAAATATGAAGTTATATAAGAAATGAAAATAAATAGTGAAATTAAGACATTGAGAATGGAGTAGTTAGATAGAAAATTGAGATATTGTAAAGTCTAGCAAGATGTACAGACAATTTATAATATAATAAAGAGTTAAAAACAGAAAAAAGGAATGAAAGGAAGGAGGAAAGAAATTGAGAAGCTGAAATAAGAAAGAAATATGCAAGAAAGAAGTGTTGCAGGGAGAACAAAGTCGTAGCAAGGCAGGAGAAGAGAGAGAGGTGTGTATGTGGTGTCATCTCTAACGGTTATCCGACGAAGTTTGAACTAAAGCACCGGAAGTGTAAATAGGGACGAGAGATATATTACTCAGAAATATTATGGAAAATTGAACGAAAGTTAATAGAAAGTGGATGAAAAATTCAAAAGAAAAATAACTGTTGAGTAATAAGGGAGAATAATTGAAATAAAAATATATCATATATATATATAAATAAATATACATACATACACATATACACACACCCACACACACACATATATATATATATATATATATATATATATATATATACACACACACACACACACACACACACACACACACACACATATACACACACATACATATATACACACACACCTATACATATACATATATATATATATATAAGGAAGTTGTCAGCAAAAAGGAAAGGAATATAACTATGGATGTTTTAATAAATTAAGAATTTGGGAGTAGGCTAAAGAAAAGTTCTGGTTGCCAGTTTTTAGATTCACTGTCTTTGGTTGATGAAATTGGGGATCAGAGAGGGAGAGACTACGGTGGATGAGATTTTTCGCAACGTTAATTTTTTGGTGGTAGGGATGTTTAGAATGGAAATTTAGGAGTCTGCCAGTGTAAGTTGGTTTAGTGTACCAGTCTGTGGATATGGTGTTGTTGGGATTTTTAATGATTAGAAGGTCGAGAAAAGGGAGAGAATTATTGAGTTTGCGTGGTACTGTAAAATTGAGGGGGGGGGTGGTAAGAGTTAAAATGTGATAGGATATCGGGAATTTTATTTGGATTGATCATTAGGAGGAGGTCGTCTACGTATTTTCGAATAAAGATGATATCGTCAGGGTAAAGAGGGATAATGGAGTCTAGAAGATCATTGAGAACGATGTTGGAGATGTCGGGAGCGAGGGGGTTACCCATTGCTAGTCCGGAGATTTGGTTAAAATATTGTCCTTGGAAAGTGAGGTAGCCTGATTTACAGCATAGATGAAGGGATTCAAGATATGAGGAGCGGTTAATTGAGGTGTGAGGTTCAATGATAGTCCAATTGTCGTCTATTATAGTAAGTGCCTTGTCTATGGTTATGTTCGTAAATAAACTTTCAACTTCGAAGGAGCAAAGAATGAAATTGTCTGGAATGGTAAAGGAGAGTAGCTGTTCATGGAGAGGGAATGAGTTTTGTACATCATAAGGGTTGTTGTGGCTGAAGATTTGTAAGGAAGGTAGTAAGAATTTGCTAAGTTTAACAGAAGGAGAATTAATGTTGGAAGTGATCGGACGGAGTGGGGTGCCGGGTTTGTGGACTTTAGGAAGTCCATGAAAACGGGGAGCAACTGAATTGTAGGAGATAAGGTTTCTGTAAGTAGGATAGTTTATGAGTTTAGAATTTAAAAGATTTTTTAGGTGTAGGTTAAATTTGGTTTTTAATGATGAGGTGGGATCACGGGATGTAGGAGAGTAAGTGGAACGGTCTGATAGGAGTAAAGTCATTTTGTCAGTATATTCTGTACGGTCCATAATAACAGTTTTGTTGCCTTTATCAGCTCTGGTTATGATTATATTATCATGGGATTTTAAGAAGGATCGGGTAAAAGAGAGGTCTTTGAAAAATTCAGGAGAAAAAGAAGAAGAGGAGAGCGGTGGGTGTAAGAGATAATTGGAAATAATATTACGTCTTCTTGGGTGATGTTATGATCTAAAAATTGGGTGAGAACTGAAATTTGCTTATGGAGAAAATTAATATTTTGAATGGTTTCGCGGATTTTTAGGTTAAGCAAAGATATTTTAAATTTAAAAGCGGAATTTAATAATTTTGAGTTGAACGGACGTGATATTGAAAAGCGGTTAAAAGAGTTTTCTATGAATTTAGGAAAGATGGAATAAGAACGGCATTTGAGAAGAAATATCCGCTGTTCGGTACTATTAGCAAGACGTTGATGAAGGTGACACAGGTTGTTGATGCGCGATTTAAGATGAGGGTAGGTAGACTTCAATAAGGAAAAGGATGTATGAGGTTGGGTTGAGGGTTGTACATTAAGTGCTTGAAGAGCTGTAGATGAAGAAGAAGAGTTGGCGTGAGAAATAGTGATGGCCGGAGATGAAATTTTGGCGCGAATGGCAGCATGAAATGCTGTAAATCAGGCTACCTCACTTTCCAAGGACAATTTTTTAACCAAATCTCCGGACTAACAATGGGTAACCCCCTCGCTCCCGACATCTCAAACATCGTTCTCAATGATCTTCTAGACTCCATTATCCCTCTTTACCCTGACGATATCATCTTTATTCGAAAATACGTAGACGACCTCCTCCTAATGATCAATCCAAATAAAATTCCCGATATCCTATCACATTTTAACTCTTACCACCCCCGCCTCAATTTTACAATACCACGCGAACTCAATAATTCTCTCCCTTTTCTCGACCTTCTAATCACTAAAAATCCCAACAACACCATATCCACAGACTGGTACACTAAACCAACTTACACTGGTAGACTCCTAAATTTTCATTCTAAACATCCCTACCACCAAAAAATTAACGTTGCAAAAAATCTCATCCACCGTAGTCTCTCCCTCCCTCTCTGATCCCCAATTTCATGTTACCAATATCAAACGCATAAAACAGATCCTGTCAAACAATAATTTTCCTCTCCATGTCATTAACAAACTTATAACAGACCACAATAATCGCTCTTCCTTAATATCAACCTCCACTAATTCTCCACAACCAATTTCAGCCCCTATATACAGATATCTACCTTATATTCCTAACCTTTCAGACAACATCAACAAACTTTTACGATCTACTAACCCTAACATACGACTTGCATTCAAATTTCACAACACACTCTCTAAATTATACACATCCCTAAAAGATCCTGTTCCTCTCTCACACCCCTCTCATATCGTTTACCGTATTCCATGTTCTACCCCCAATTGTTTTTCAACCTATATTGATGAAACCAAAAATCTCCTAAAAGACCGCGTAACCCAACATAAATATTTTGTATCCTCTCGTAATTTTACCGCCTCCAAATTATCCGAACATTCTCTCCCTCTCAATCATACATTTGATTTCGACAAAACATCCATCCTTGCCACAGTTCTCAACCATGACAAACTACTCATTTCTGAAACCCTCCACATCCAGCTTCAACCAAAGACAGTGAATCTAAAAACTGGCAAACAGAACTTTTCTTTAGCCTACTCCCAAATTCTTAATTTATTAAAACATCCATAGTTATATTCCTTTCCTTTTTGCTGACAACTTCCTTATATATATATATATATATATATATATATAGAGGTGTGTGTGTATATATGTATGTGTGTGTATGTGTGTGTGTGTGTGTGTGTGTGTGTGTGTGTGTGTGTGTGTGTGTGTGTGTGTGTGTGTGTATGTATGTATATGTATGTGTGTGTATGTATATATAAGTAAGAATAATACCTTAGAAGCAAAAGCTGCCTGTGGCCAATCTAGTATTGCAGCAGTCATCTGCGCAGTCTGGTTACAGTCATCATCAATAGCCTAAATGATTATTTAAATAAATTCTCAATAATAGATAAATGATACATACAATAAATGAATTACATATTATACATAGATACCCAAAAGCTATTGATTTGTAAATGATGTGGCTATGTTAGCAATATTGAAAACATAGTCACCATTAAACAATAACATGTTTTACCTGTTTTCCCACAATCACAAGATCAACTTTTTCATCTTGAGCAATTTTGGCAATGATTTTTGAAACATGAATGGGTTGTAAAGTATTCAATTCAGCTGCAGAAACTTCCACGTGAATTCCTCGATCAATTCCCATTGCAAGAGCAGTTCTTATTGTTTCCTACAATAAACAATTTTGATGAGAAATTAAGAAAAATTTACACTAGACAAACACTGATGTATAGTATGTGTTTACATGTCTTAGAGTTATGTATTAACTGTCTCTAATTGAATTACCATTTCAAACTGATGTGATATGAGCTACATTCTGTATGCATAAATATGATCTAGTGAGAGTTGTTTAGATGTTTGTGAAGATTTTATACATAGTTTTTTAGTATTGGGTAACTATATTAAATTTATTTAAACTATTTTTTGTAGATACAGGTATATTTTAAGTTCCATTTTTTAATATTTATTGGAAATAAATCTTTTAAAACAGTAGAGTCAATTTTTCTTTTAAATCACATATGTCATTAAAGTAAACCTTGCCAATTCTATACAGCACCATCCATGCTTTACTTTTCCAAATAGTCAGTGGCCCAAATAAATAGTGGGCAGAAATAGAGAAGGCTAAGAATAGATACAGAGAATGGCACATTAAATTGTGATATTATTAAAATAAATTCTGATTTAGTGGGTTAATTTTTATACACTCATCAATTATTTAACAATAATAACGGAGTATTTATATGAAAGTGAACTTCGACAATAATATGCAGCAAGAAATTAATAGACTGCAAACAAATACTATTTTGTGCTCCTGAAACATATCAAAAGTAGATCTATCTCAAGGATCACCAAGGTGCAGCTTTATAAGACCCTCATAAGGCATGTTCTGCTGACTTATGCTTCCGAATGTTGGACAATCTCTCGAGCTCAAGAACTAATGCTCCTAAGATTCAAGAGGCGGATCCTTAGAAGAATCTTTGCACCTGTGTTCAGCGATAACGTTTGGCGACAAAAAACTAATTCTGAAATAGAAAGAATGTATAATGATCCAAATGTTGTCACATTCATAAGGATTGGAAGGCTTCATTGGGCAGGCCATGATGCTCGAATGAAGAATGATGAGGTCCCAAAGAAACTTTTGGAAGAAAGGATGCACAGCAAGAGAAGGGTTGGGAAGGGCGAGACATCAGTAGGCCGATGGAGTGGCAGAGGATGTACGGTCCATCTTAGGAGTAAGAAACAGGAGGGCAATGACAAAGGACCGAAAAGACTGGAAATTGATGTTGCGGGAGACCTTGACTCACCACTGAGTTGTTGTGCCGGAATAAGAAGATGATAAATATGAAAGTTACAGGGAAATTTATATTATTATTTTTTCTTAGGAGGTAACAAAAATATCTTCTAAACATTTTAGGCCTGTGCCCGTAATCAAAACTTGCTTTATATCACAGCTTAGTAACTTCATAATAAAATAATATTTATGTCCATCTGCTAATGTCAAAATACTAAAATTGATAAAATTACATTTGCAGACATTTGTCCTTAGCTCAAAAATGAAAGGTTTTAAATAACAAAAAAATATATATTTTTTTCCGTAACTTACAATGATTCACTATTGAAAATAATAAACAAAAACCTATGAATAAATTCGAATAGGCTGTATTTTTAATAATAACAGTCCAATTTCAATATATATATATATTTGTAGGGAATTTAGAAACCTTTAAAATTATCATGGGCATAATAAATAACCAACAAATCCATATTCAATAATCTGACCATAAATTTAGTGATTTTTGGGTTATACATAAATGAAGATTTCATTATAAAACGGTTTTTTCCTCCAATTTTTAAGGGATATGTTTAATTTTCGGTACTGAAGAAGATAATCTTCAAAACGATAGTTTGCTAGATTTTAGCAGTCGTAAGCATTTTAGCAAACACAATAATTATAAATGTTTTTCAGCAGTTTTAATTTTTAAACAGTGATGTAATCACCCTCATTATCAACAACCTTTTGCCATCTAGTGTGCACATTTTCAATGGCGGGTCGATAAAAATCAATAGATTATTGAGCAAAATATACAGAGACGGCATTTTGGGAATTATCCAAATTCGCAAATCTTTTGCCACTTAAAAAGTGTTGAAGGGATCGGAATAGATTGAAATCCAACAGTGCAACATCAGGTGAGTATGGTGGGTAAGGCATTACCTCCCACCCCAATCCATTAATTGTTTCAGGATTTGTCTTGCATTATCGTGTAGCAGAATAACTCCTTTTATGTTGACAATCACTTTTCCATTAAAGATTGATTTACACGATCCATTTGTTCACAATAAAGGCCTGCATACATAATTTGTCCAAGTTTTAGAACTTTAAAATGAATAACACTGTAAATACTCCACCAAACACATAAAAGGGACTTTTTGTGGCTTAAACCTACCTTAACAGTGCTTTGTGGCAATTCATTAGGAGAGAGCCATTGCCTTTTGCATTTTGGATCATCATAGAGTCCCCAATTTTCATCTCCGGTGATCAAGCGATTAAAAATCGCTTTTGTATTGTGGCGTTGAAGCAATAAGTTGCAAGTGGCTTTTAAATCTGCTGCAAATGTTCTTGGAGGGTCGACCAAGGTTAGTTAAGACTGTTTGACAATTCTTCAATTGTCTGACATGGATTTCCTTCCACTTCCGATCTTAACACGTCATTGTCTAACGTTGTTGGTCTTCCTGATCGATACGAGTCGGAAAGATTTAAATTACCGGATTAGAACTCGGAAAAACACCTTTGGCATTTACAAACATCCAATACATTTGGATACGGAAAATGTACTTATAAATACGGAACAATTCCTATGACAGAGATTTGGGAGATAAATACAGTTTCGTAATTACTTTACATGAAAAATATTTAAAAAATCATTATCAGTATTTAGGCAATTATGTTTATTACAATAAATCATAGATCATAAAAATAATAAATAAAAGCTTTGCAACAGTTAATTGAAGTCATTTTTTCTGAAAACACAAGCACTATTAGGTGACTGGATAGAAGTTAACATCATTTCTTCACACAACTTGAGGTGAATTTCAAGAATTTGCCTAATAAACTTCAATTTAATGAATATGAGGTTGTAGCTTATTTAACGAAGAAGTTTTTCTGAAAGTGGGGTATCTGTAGTATAGTTATATAATGATAAAAAAAAAAAAATTGCCAATAATTTATGATTTTTTTTTTAAACAGAACTTAACCAAGTTTAGCTGCTTAAAAGTCCTCAAAGTGCTCAAAAGTTAAATGGTTTTAACATTGACAAATTCTATTTTAATTTGAAGAAAATTTTATTTAGTTAAAATTGAAACAATTGCTAATTATTTAAATTAAATATTTCTTCAGTTATCGCTTCCTAATCATCAAAAAGCATGACTTACTTTAAAAAATACTAAACTTGTAGATCCTACTTTTACAGGCACCTAGGACTGTTTTACAAACTACATAGATACCTACACCTACATACTTTCTAATTCATTATCTCTTCCTACCTTAATGACAGATACTTGATAGTAAATCACAATAATATCTATTCATTCCACTTTCCATAGTCTGCTGGTGTTCCTCAAGGTAGTATCCTAGGTCTTATTCTTTACACAGTTTATACAGCTGACATCCTATCCTGATGACAAATGTGTCTTAACAGTCAGTAATTACCCATCAATCCCATCCTAAACTCTTCTCTCACACATCACAAATCTTGAAGGATGCTAGACTTCACTAATAAAAGAATTCTTATGATTTTTGTTCCTAATTATTATATGTATTAAAGAGGAGACCAGTACAAATAATTGAGATGAAGATTTTCAAAAATATACAAAATAAATCAGTTTTTTGAAATATTTCAAGAAAAAACAAAATTTTGTCTTTAGTCTGTTATTGCACAAATTTAAAATTGTCCAATGTTGAGGGATTTTAATAAAATCAAATCTTTAGAACACTAATTAATCAAAATATTTCTTTAGAAAAAACTGTCCTTTGGTATGTTTTGGAAACCAATGGCTCAGTTGAATATTCCTTAATCAAGCCTGAATCTAAACCTAAAAATATGCCAATGATAAAATGAATATGAAACAGTAATCACCTGTGATTGAGCAGGGCCACAAGAAACAGCTATTAATTCACTAGCAATTTTCTTTTCTTTCATGCGCACTGCTTCTTCTACAGCTATTTCATCAAATGGATTCATAGAATGTTTTACGCCATCAGTAACAACTCCTGTTTTGTCAGGTTTTACACGAATCTAAAAAAAAAGAAATGAGAATGTTTAAACAAATTTCTTTAATACAAAATTATCACTTGTACACAATATAGAAAAATCATACTCAACCACACCCACCCCCTGGTCTATTAATACTATAGATTAAACAGTACGGATGATTTTTATTATGTTTGTCAATTTATTTACGCATTAAAAATAGAAATAGAAAATCATCGTTATTCTGGGACTAGGTCCCTTAAGAATAACAATATTGTTCATACAAATTAACGATAAATCTGCCTAAAAGACCTATTACAATAAATAATATCTAAAATATAAGTAAATAAAATAAGTATATACATAGCTGTGAGGATACATTAACAAAATCAGATGGGTACTAGGGTTACAATACTACCATATTGGTGCTAAACAATAACATAAAAAAAACTAAATAAAATTAGAAAGGAACGCTAAATAAATTGTATGGGCAAACAAACCATTGTAGTGATAAAATATACTATATATATAAATATATATATACACACACACACATATATGGAGAGGAGTGTGCAGAAGATAAGTAAAAAATAAAAAATACATTTCATAGGAATACAATCTTATGAATAGGAAAAGTATAAGTTAAGAAAAACGAAAAGCAAATAATACCTACTCATAATGCTTTGTGAAAGGTGTTGGAAATTATTTTTCATATTTAAAAGAGAAAAAAAAAAAACGTGTATAAAGAAAATTAAAATCTTGTTACATAATAAATACTTAGCCAGCCTTTGATTGAATTATGAAGAGGAATTGGAATAGGAGGCTTTTAAATGTGGATAAGGACTGCGCATAGCGGATTTTTAATGGGATGGAATTTCAAAATGTAGTAGAACGGACAACAAAGGAATGTTTAAATGAGGCAGATCTGTAGAAATGGATATAAAGGTCAGAAGTATGAGATCTTGTGGAGAGGGTGCGGATTGATGACTTCAAATTGTAGGAGATTGTATGGGTAGGATAGACAATGATTATTGATTATTTGGTAAAGGAATGTGCCTAGGAAATATTGTCTTCTGAAGGAGGGAAAGAGCCACCCAACCTCAGCATAGTGGTGAGAAACACGGGAACGTCTCGAGGTCCCCATGAAAAATCTTACAAAGGCATCTATAATTCTTTTCAGTTTGTCCCCGAGTTCCACCAAGAGGCCACCGTACACCACACAGCCGTAATCAAGGTGCGGGGATATACTAGGAGTCTCCATGTGGGAATAGGTAGGAGATGGCGGAAGCAATGGAATAGTTTCAAAGGATCAATTGACCATCAGGAGATGCGGTAATTCCAGGAGAGGGTTTGGTCAATGAAAATGCCTAGGTTTTTTACTGAGGGGCTGAAGGTGATGGGAAGGTCATAGAGGTACAGAATAGGAATGTTGGTATTGGATCTGAGAAGGGGTTCGGAACCAATGACAATAATATGAGTTTTGGCAGCGTTTAATCTTAATCCATTTAAGTTTACCCATGCACTGATCCAATTTCAGTCTTCTTGAATTTTGGCAAACACATCATGCAACTCTGATGGAGAGAAGGAAAGGTAAATTTGGGAATCATCAGCATAGATGTAATGGGAACAGTGAAGGATTGATTTATGAAGGTCATTGATATAGGAACAAAGCATCTAGTGCGGGCAACACACAACTTCCATTTATCCCTCTACTTTAAATAGAGATTATTTTCTAGCAATGTTGGGGTATTATAAAATTTTTGAAGTGCATTTAAAACGGAGCTAAAGCTTAAAGCTTACAGATAACAAATTATAAGACAACAAAAAGTCTATTTATTATATCGACGGTAGGCAATAAAAATCTAGTTTTATAAACCACATAACTTCAGTCTCTGAGCATTTCAGTTGAAAGAATGACTAACTCCAATTTTAACATTTTAAAGTAATGTCATGTTAGTGATATTTCTAGTTGGAAAAGTTATATCTATACAGATAGTGAGCAAGTTGATTCCAGAGTAGGTAATTGCTATGTTGAAATATAGAACTGTGAATGAAGGTATAAATTTTGCCACTAAAAACATGACTAAAATTAATAATAAAGAATGTTGAAATTGGATTTAGTCTTTTTGACAACCGAAAGGTTCATATATGCCTAGAGAGATTTGAAATTACATCTGAATATTTAACCTATAAATGATTATGGATTGCAGGACTATTGTAATTAAACTGTTATTTTCCATAGTAAAGTTTACTAAAATGAAATTACGAGATTTTCATTGCCAGCCATAGATAGGTCAAAAGTTGTCACACTAATTGTAAGTGGACAATGTTGGGATTTCACAAAGGAGAAAATTCATCAAATTATACACTAATTTAATTTCCTAAAATGTTACTTAATGATTTTTTAGAATAAACGGCCAATAGATACCTTAAATTGATAGATTTAAATCTATCATATCTAAAGTTATTAAACTACAGCAAAAGTATTTAAGGTTATAAACATATCCATGAAATATTTTTATATTTCACTTCTTCTTTCACAGAAGTACAATGAAATAGTATTTCAAACATTGGTTGATTTGGTGGATTTTAAATACTTTTTTGTCAAACTTAGAAAAACTGTAAAAGTTTACATTTAGTTAGAAAATTTCATTGGAAACATGCGATTTACGTTAAATAATGTTAGTTTTCTGAAATTATTATTTATATTTTTTTCGTCACTCTGTGTTTCCTTCTACAACTTTATTTATTTAATATTATTTTTTTTTTAGAAAATGTTCACGATCGCAATACTTACCCTTCTATATATTTCATACATAGGTAACTGAAAGTAAAAAGAAGAGGTGATTTGCTACAGCCCTGGGCCACTCCTGAGGTCAGAGTAAGATAGGAAGACAAAGGTTGATTAGGAATAGTGACTGCTTGGGTACGTTGAAAAAGGAAAGATTAAAACCAAAGGATAGAACTGTTAAAAAACGATAAAGATTTTAAATTTAAAAAAAGGATGGAACGGTTAATGGTATCAAATGCTTTGGAAAATTCTAGGCGTACAAGGACAGTTAGTTTTTGGTCATTTATAGCGGATTGAACATCATTAATGATTTTTATTAGGGGGGATTGTGTGGAGTAACTGGTCTAAAACCAGATTGGAGAGGGTCAAGTTGATTGCACTATTCTTTCCAGGAGTTTTGAAAGGTTAGAGAGAATTGAAAACATAAGAAATGACTACTTTAACTAACTATTAAATAACTACAGTTTTCCAATGGCAATATTTTCTAGGTGTATTCCTTTTCCAAATCTTTACAACCAAAATCCTACTTACATTCGCTGTTCATTCTCTAAATATGAGATCCCCGACCACAAACCTGTATATTCTTCTCGTGAAACTGCTTCCTTTAAAAACTCCTTTATAACCTTGTTTTGGAATTCCAAATCCTACTCCAGACTCTTAAATACATTTCCAACTTCTTTTTAACACCAATTATTTATCCATCTCCTCAGTAATCAATCTTTTGAATACATGTAATAATTAAATATTCGTATTCAAGTGTTGTCAGCCTCATTTTACTGTTATTTCATTAATACCTATGTTGCTTATCAGCAGAAATATGTAAACAAACTGATATTTATTTTATCTATAATTATATTTGTTTACTTATGCTTATCCTTTATTCAAATTCAAAGGTTATATCACTCAATAATTTAATTTCTTGTCATTTTATGCCGAAAAAATGAAACTTATATTATTTATTATTAATATTCTTAGGAGTTTAAATATCCTAGAATAAAATTTTCTTTTCTTCTTCTTTAACTATGTATCAATAAGTTGATTGAATTTTTATAATAAAATAATGTCAACACCCATTTTAGAACAGTGTTTTTCTCTGAAATTCGAATCATAAAAATGTCTTACCATAATTTAGGTAAGGTAAATAACTTTTTATATCATAAACAAAAAATATTCAATTTTGGATCCAATAAAAGAATTAAATCAATGTTCATCAGTCAGACACAACAGAACTATTTTGCACTAAATAGTTAATATAATAGCACTTCAATACAAATATTAATTAAATTTTGGAACATTGCATTTTGATTGAAATCATAAATTCAAAAAGTAATACCTTGAAAGGAAGAAAAAAATTCATTGATAAAAACAAAAAACTTTAGAGCTCACAAACTCAATAAATAAACCAAGAAAACTAAAAGAAATAATTAATATTCAATTCAAACATTTTCAATAGTTAATTACAGAGTGACCATAAGATACTTCTTAAATCCATAATCTGATATTTAATTGGTAAAGTAGCATAATCATCCTCCAAAACCAAAAAAATATTAGCAGTTCCTTAATTAATTTTAATATATTTTAGCATAATTACTCGTAGTTTGACCAGCACAAGCCTTTTACAGTATACTAAATAGTCAATGGTGTATTAAAAGATCATTTATAAGGATGCAAAATTTTAAAAATCAGTTGAAGCAAGGTGGTGTTTTACATAAAAAGTTATTGTCATTAATAAAATAACAAAATATTATTAGTAATATTAAAATTATCTCAGTGGTAACAGATTATACAAAGAAGTATTAAAAATAAAATAAATCATTTTAAAATCACTTAATTCGAAATATCTTCAAATATAATATAGAATAAAACGAACAGTTTACATACACAAATTAATGAACAAAAAGTGTAATTTCTCATATTATTACTATTTATTTTTTTGGAGTAACCTGGCAAATAGAGAACATATATCTCTTACGGATTTTTTCAGGAGATTCCTGTCTTATTTTATACATAAAATTAATTTAAAACGTACATATTGAAACAAACACACACACTAGAAAATATATCCAACCTTAACAGCGTAGTCGATTACTCTCTTCACTCCGACAAGTACTCTAGACATTTTAAGAAATAAAGAAGAAAGCCTTAAAACAACTAAGAGACAAGTAATTGAAGAAAAAGTCTTATCAATTGGGAAAAGTAGGTTACTTCAAGGTTAAATACTTCTTATCTATATCAATGCTCCATAGAAGATCTACAGCAATTCATTCAATCCCTATTGAAAGTGATGAAAAATAGGAATTTTCAACCATGAGTAAAACATGTTGGTATCAATAATAATTTCAGTATTAGTATCCTATTTTTATTTAACGGTAAAACCAACACCAATTTCAATATTTTTTTTAAATTATTTTTATTACGTCATTTATTTCAAGTCTGTAAGCCTCCGAATAAGCTATATCAAGATAAAAGAGGAAATTTTTTAATTATATATTGTTCAGCTGTCATGCTCCGACTGAAACATCAGATGAGCAAACCAACGAAGAGTACTATGACTTGCTAGAATGATCCGTTAAGGCGTGTCCTCGTTCAGATGTATTAACAGTCGCAGGCGATTTCAATGCGAAGATTGGTAAGGAAGCAATCTACTTCCGTACTATTGGTAAACATAGTCTATATAATGTCTGTAACGACAATAGACATAGACTGCTTAACTTTTGCGCATCAGACAACCTTGTAGTTGTCAACAGTCTATTTTCCCAAAAAAGAATCCATCTTGGTACTTGGACTTCCCCCGATGGAAACTGCAGTCAACCAGATTGATCACTTCTAATAAGTACTAGACATAAATCGAACCTTCTTGATTTCAGAACTTTTCGTAGAGCTTAACATGGGCTCAGACCATATTCTAACTCTGGCTAAAGTTAGGGCCAGGTTCTCACGTGTGACAAGGCACGGACAAAGATGTAAGACGTTCAATCTACAAAAACTCAATGATCGCGAAGTCTCCCAAGCATATGTAAATAAAATTAATAAAAAGTTCTCTAACGTGCCATATACAGAAGATGAAGGTGTCGACGAAATGTGGTTTCGAAACATTGAAAAAATTATCCATGATGCAGCAGAAGAAGTAATTGGCCCCAGACAAGTACAAAATAGGTTACAATGGTTTGACGAGGAGTGTAGCCAGGTCACTATTTGCTGGAACGAAGCCTACACACTCATGCTTCAGAAGAAACATACCCGAACATCAGTTGATATCTATCGACAGTGCCGAAGAGAATAAAAGTCTATCCATCGACCCAAGAAAAGAAACTAGGAAAATAGAGAGCTAGAAGAAATGAAGAGATTGAGAAGCAATGATGAATGCCGAAAATTGTATGAAGAAGTGAACAGCGGTCAAAAGCCGTTTAAACCTCGAATTTCAGCCTGTAAGGACTCAGATGGATGGATGGAAGTGCTACGAAGATAGAACAAGTACTTCAATCACTTGATCAATGGAAATCGGGTACGGGAAGCTCAGCGGGAAGAAGTGAACCTTAGTCGAACCCCTCAAGATGACCTCGAGCTCCCAGATTAAGAGGAACTGTATGAAGCCATTGATAGGCTTAAGAACAACAAAGCACCAGGCATTAACAAACTTGCTTCCGAGCTATTTAAGAAAGGGGGAGATCATTTTTTACAAGCCTTTCAAAACCTCCTTGTTTCGATATGGACAGAAGAAATCAACCCAAAATCATGGAATAAGAAGTTTTATGTCCTATTGACAAGAAAGGAGGTCTTTTTGAATGCAATAATTATCGGGGTATATCTCTACTTCCATGCGCCTATAAGATTTTCTCAAACATACTGTATCAACGATTACTACCGCATGTTGAGAGGGTTCTGTGGAAATATGAGTGCGACTTTCGTATTATGTATTATTTTGTATTATCGGTGTTATTTTGGACTTCGTCGGCACATAGGAAGTAACTCGTTATCAAGATTATATACAAAAATAAGATTATATAAGACGCTGATTCGTCCAGTACTAACCTACGTCTCAGAAATATGGCCATCTTCGAAGTCCGATGAAAGGGATCTCTAAACATTTGAGAGAAAGATATTTAGACGCATCTACGGTCCAGTAAAGGATAGTTCAGCTTGGAGAAGACGGGCGAACAGGAAAGTATATTCGTTGATTGGTAAGCATGATTGCGAAAATTTGTAAGAATTGGTAGGTTGCGCTGGATAGGCCTTGTAGCTAGGATGGCCACTGATGAGATCCCAAATAAACTAATAAATGAGCGCCTACATAGAACACGGCTTAGAGAGTTGGATGGTGTTGAAGAGGATTCAAGGACCTCGGAGTAAGGAATTGGAGAGCAGCTGCACTGAATCTATTAAACTGGCGGAAGCTGCTTGAGCAGAACAGGAGTCAGCAATGCCTTGCTACGCCGATTGGAGAAGAAGAAGATTATTAAGTCTAGTTGGACTTGATATGGCTGCTTCCTTGCAGCACAAAATAATTAATAAAATTAAAATGATAATAATAAAAATATACCTAATATTCTGAAGTTGTCATTCTCGATATCAATGAAATTTCCGATAAGCGGTGTTAGACGGATCTATACGTTTCAGAGGTCCCCACCCCCTGAAAAACACATTTCAGCCTGAAAGTAGAAGATCACGAAATACCCTACAAAACTATATAAAAATCATTCATTTCGGACAACTATTAACGACGTTACAGCTATTAAATTTTAAATGTAACATTACGAGTTCATATCTTGGTATCAGAAAGGAGTGAATGTAAGAAAAAAGATAACTAAGTTAAAGTAAGAAAATCTGTTGTCCGCATTATACAAGCTTCACTATTGTCACTACTTTTAACAGAAATTATTGTTTGACAAAATTAGGCTATGGCAGAAAGTTTTTGATCAGCAATATTAGAGGATATTGAAATTTTCACACTGATCTACCTTAAGCTGGTTTACATTGCTTTAGGTTATCAAATAAATTGTACTAAAATCTTTTCTTTGATCAATTTTCAGGAAAATAAATCTAACTCAATTTTCTTTTGTTTCTTGATGGACATATGTGAAGATATAAAAACTTTTTTGAAATAGGTATGAAAGTCGTGTTAGTGGACACGCCACATTTCTTTTCTCCGAATTTTTAAAAAAATATTAAATGGATATATGTGTGGGTAGGAGGGTGATACTTTGCTTTTTTACTATTTGATGATAATTTTACAATTTTTTGTGGGAGGGGAGAGGGGGTTAACTACCTCCCTCCGATTTTTTTTAAAGATAATATTTTGTCAGCATCTCAATAAATTAATTGACAATAGTAAGTATGTATGCCCAATGTATAGTAGAACCAATGAAACCAAACTGATACTGATTTATTCTAAAACATATAATAAAATCAAAATCTGAATTTCACACTTACCAGTTAAATCCAGAGAGAGCGCTGAGAGTACTGACAACAGGTCTCCACCCTTCAACTCCTGATAAAATCAAAGAAGAATTGACGGCTTCAGCTTTCAATGTTCGCCAAATTGTTAAAACATATAAATAAAATAAAGTTCAGCTAGGAACAAATAATAAAATAGTCCAACCACTATTTAATGTAGACCTAGAGCGCACTCTGAACAAGAAATTAGATTCATAAGAAAACTAAGAAAATACAATTAACTTTAATTATCAAAGAAAAGAATATAAAATTATCATAGAACTAAACATTAACCTACAACTATACAATATACTAATTACAAACATTTGAAAACAAAAAAATAGATTGGAAATAAAAACTTATATCTACATATTTACAAAATCTCAATGCCGAACTTTGTCCAATTGCCACATTGAGCTATCTGAGGAAGCGGTAACTTATTCCAACTAGCTTCGTCAGTGTCTCCCAAGGCTATCTCCTCAAGCTGGGAAAATGTTCATTCACCAACTTGTAAAATCAAGCGGCACTCGTCGCTGATAATCACCGTTTCATAGATAGGAAATTTTAATGGAAAATGGCATTAAACGTTTGTTTTTACATCGGTGTAATTAGAAACAGAAGAATTAGTCGAAAGATACAAATAACACAGGTAAAATTGACGGCAAACATCGAAAATTCTCAGTTTGGCCTGAGACGGCAAGCAGTTCACTTTGTTCCTACAGTTTTTTCTCTCTAGCATTCGTACCCTCTGTTATTTCTTCTTAATTTATATATATATATATTTTCATCACGGTCAACCGAGTTTATTTACGTCCTTCATATATATATTTTTTTACGGCGTAATAAATTATTAAAGAAAAAGGTCGTGTTTCACTAGCTGTGGATTGAGGAGCGACTATTAATCCTGCTAAGCTTCTGAGTATTAAGGACCAACAACACGCCGCTATTGACAAACATTCGTCTAACGTGAGTAAATATTATTATATTATCACGAAAATGGTTCAATGCTCTATTTGTGATAGTGCCATCTCTAGGGAGGACAAAACTAATAAAAGCTGCAATAAATGTCAGGTTATCTTTCACGGTAAATGCTGCAAACTGGGCGATAAAGAGATCGAGACATTAAAATCTCAAAAAAAGGTATGGCTTTGTAAAAAATGTGACCAAGGCAAAAATATATACCAAATTAATGAAAAATCAGCCAGTCCACCAAGAAATGAAATCAAGGAGCCGTCAGCAGCTGATATTCTCAGTACGGTTAATCGACTTAGCGCCCAAGTCAATGAAGACATTAAAAATCTTAAGTCTTCGTTAGAAAAGTACGGTGAGCTCAGCTTTGAGTTAAATGAAAGATTTTCAAAAATAGAAAATCATCTAGAGAATCAAGCTAAACATCTGGAGGAATTGACTTCGGAAAATAAAACGCTGAAATCCAGAGTGGGGGAACTCGAGGTACGATTAAACAGAGCCGAGCAGGGCCTACTCTGTAGATCGGTAGAGATCCCAGGCATTCCGGTACGTGCAGGAGAGACTCCTTCGGCCCTAGTTGACAGTGTGGGTGCCGGTTTCGGTGTTAAGATTAACATCTTAACACCTTAAAATCATCTTAAAATCGAGGACGTCGATTTTGTGGAGCGCCGTAGACCTTAAAAAGAAGATCCTAGACCACCACCCATTATAGCTCGCTTTGTGAGGAAAGCAGTACGAGACGAGCTGGTACAAAGAAGAAAGGTCAAAAGGGACTTTTCAACTCGAGACATTGGCTGGCAGGAAAACGA